AAGAGAACACTTCTCTAGTAATCTCAAGGTCCTCCAGAGCATTTCTATGACTGCCCTCTGCTGAGGTTGACCATAAAATCACTCTGGAGAGAACATATTCATTAAATCCATGAATCATGACATCTGCAAAAGGGAAATCAGCATATGTGGGGCTGATTGTACTGCTTTGTACAGTTTTATTATTAAAATTAGTTTTTATTGTTAAAACTAATGGTAACTCTCACTGTAGATATATTGCGGGTCATAGAATCATAGAATTGGAAGAGACCACAAGGGCCATCCAGTCCAATCTCCCTGCCATGAAGGAACTCACAATCAAAGCACCCCACCTAGATGACCATCAAGCCTCTGTTTAAAGACCTCCAAAGATGGACACTCCACCAATCTCTGAGGTAGTGTGTTCCACTGTCAAACAGCTCTTACTGTCAGGAAGTTCCTCCTAATGTTTAGGTGGAATCTCTTTTCCTGTACCTTGCGAAGGATACGGATGAAAGCAGTCTAAATAAAATGAGACAAGTACTGAGTTCACGATACTGACAGTATTCAAAATGGTTATATCTTAATCTTAGTTCATCTTCTGAGTCCCCACACTGTATCAACAATTCTCAGAATTTCAGGCGAGCATATCCCATACACTCAACTAAGCCTTGGTGTGAGAATGCAATCTTTTTCTGAGAGATTTGCCTACCAGATATTGTTGCTGCCTGTTTTCTTCTCGATATGTCTCCCTGACAGCTTTGAATCCAATCCTCTGTGTTACAGGCAGCACTTCTCTATCTGGCTTAGATGTTATCTGAGCCATTCAGCCATCCAAGTGGAATCACTCATTGACACCCTCAAGTGAGTTTCTCCCTGAGTGGCGATTGACATAGATCACTGCAGAAGATTCCATTGATCAATAGCTTTTAATGTAATGGAAATTACCACAGTGTATTCATTCAGCAGGCACCACCTGGCCTCAGTGTATTCATCAGTGCTTCTCATTTTTATACCAAATCACAAGGCAGAAACTAAGCCAACTTCACCACACAGCATCAATACTAATGTCATTAATAAGGCCCTGGAAATTCTGTAGAATACTTTAGTGGCAGAGGACCCACTAAAGTGTAGTAGAAATGTATAATTTTTGGGTGATGGCAATGCGTAAAATCATGTATGATATGGAAGAAGTAGAAGGGGAAGAGAGCTTCCCTTCTTTCATAGGAATATTTTTAATTTTTAAAACACACATTAAAATATTTCTATTCCCCTCAAATATCTTAAAATCTTAGGACAACTTACAATAAAATCAGTTTAGCCAATTTAAATGACATAAAACAGGCAAAATAATTTAAAGGGTTTATAAGCCAATCAAACAGTTTGACACTTAAAATCAGTTAAAACAGTTTAAAAAATTCAGCACTAAGTGGTTTACAACATGTAAGCCAATTGCCCCCAATGAGTTGGGTACTCATAGAATCATAGAGTTGAAAGAGACCACAAGGGCCATCCAGT